TGGAGAACTAGAGCCCCTGTAAATCTCCATCTGCAGTCTGGGAACCCCTGGGGGGCAAGGGTCCGTCGTGGTCACTTCCAGAGTCACGCCCAGGAGCAAGGACAAAAAGAGAGGAGAAGTGGGGAGGGGACTCCCCTCCTCTGAACAGCTCATTCCATTCCGTAAGGGAACGTTCACGATGGGAAGTCTGGTCGGGTGGGAAAAAGGACATAACAGAGAATGACCTGGGGGTCTCGTGGCCCCTGACTCCACTTGTTCTAACGGTCACAGGGGCACTGCTTCCCCCAGTGGCCATCGCCAGCACTGCAGCCCTAGGCAAGAAACCCAGAAAACAAAACACACACCTTTGTTTGGATGTTGTCATGGCAGCTACTCTCCCGGCCCCCCAGGGGTTCACGGGGAAGGACCGACAGGTCCACAGGTAACCAGGAAGCCCTCGGAAGCTTCACTCGCTCCCCTCTTCCGGCTCTGGGGCATCCAGTTCACTTAAAAGGCCATTCCAGCCAGGGCCTCACCTCCCACCCCCCCAAATGGGGACCCTCTCCTTCCAGAAAGGACGGTCTCATCCCTGAGCCCCGGAGGAGAGTTGCCCTGCTCCGAACCCCCTGCGTGACCCCGACAGACCCGTCCCCCCCGACTGCTCTGCCTTACGCAGTCCTGCAGGGAGGAAGGCGTCTTCTAAGGCCTTGGCGCACAGAGGGTCACGGGCAGGGAACCAAGGGCAAGCGCCTCTGGGGTCCTGGGGGGCCCCCAAGGCCGAGCACCCCACATTTGTAGAGGAGCAAACGGACTCTTGGCTCCCGCGAGCCCTCGCACGTAGGGAAGGGTGCTTAGGCTCGGTGCCTAGAGCTGGGGCCGCGGGGGCCCCGGCCCTGTCCCCTGCAGGCAGCACCGAGCCGCCCCCTCGGCCAGGCCGGGCGCGCCTCCCCCTTCCGGCCAAGCCCCCCCACAGGCCAGTTGCTAGGCGACTGGACGCCTCTCCCCCAGGACCGAGCGCCCCGGTCACCGCCCCGCCTTTCTCACACCTAGGAAGTCCGTGCGCGCGAGTGGGAGTGCGCGCGAGTGGGAGTGCGCGCGGCGCTCGGACGCGGCGCCCGCAGAGAGGGGTCCCCCAGGACCTCAGGGCTGTCCTTCCCGAAGCACATGCCGGGGGCCCAGGAGGGGGGGCGGCCCCGGCCTCCGCCCGAGCCTCAGTTTCCCAGTGGTGCCGGGACGGTTGGACGCGGAATTGCGTAAGCGCGCTCTGCGTGGACGCGGCGCCGGCTCGCCGCGAGGCCGCGGGCCCCGCGCGGACTCACCTGGCAATCTACCATCATCCTCGGCCTCGGCAGCTCATCGCCAGCCCCCGGGCGGGGCCCGGGACTCCCAGAGGCCGCCCGCCTCGGCCCGCGGCGGCGCAGGGGGGCGCTCGGGTCATGGCGCGGCCTCGAGTCCCCGCCGGGCCCGGGGCTCCGCGGCTCCGGCCGCCGCCGCCGCCGCCGCCGCCAGCGCCGCTCCTCCCATTGTCTGCGCCGCGCCGCGCCGCGCCGCCGGCCGCTCGGGCCCCGCCGCTCGGTTCCGCCCGGGCTCCTGGGGCTCGGGCCGGGAGGGGGCGGGGACGGCGTGGCCACGCCCCGGCCGCGCCGCAGGTGCGTGGGCGGGCCTCGCCGCGCGCGCTCCCCGGAGGGAGGCCGGGCGCGTCCCCGAGCGCGCGCGCGCGCGCGGCAAGATCCCGCGCGGGGAGGCGGGGCTGGAATCCGCGGCCGGACGCGCGCACGGGGCCTGCGCGGGACCGCGGGCGGCGCGCGCACGTGACCCTCCCTCTCCTCCCCCTCCCCCCCAGCCTCCGCTCCGGCTCCCCGGGACCTAGGGACGTGGTAAGCATCTGGTCTAGGCACCCCGTGCCACCTGCGGGACCCCGGCCAGGGCGTCCCCGCCCCTCGCTCTAACCCCCTCATCTGGCTTCACCTGCCACTCGGCTCTCAGTGACCGCACCAGCTGTGGCCAGCGGACTAGGGGGTCAGCCCCCCTTTGCAGCACGCGTCCGACGGGCAGAGGCGTGGCCCTGTGCCTGCGCACTGAAGATCACCCCTCTTCTCCACCAGTCTCCTGCCTTCCCGCGCTCACAGCGCTGTCGTGTGCAATCATAGACCCACTGGGGACACTGAGGCTCTGAGAAGTCACCCGTGAGCAGGCCTGTTACAGCTGTGGTGGGGCCGGGCTGTGTTTTGAACTCAGGTCCATGGACCCCGACACTGTGCTCTTCACAGAAGCCCAGGATGTGGTCTTTGGAGCTCCTAGGAGTCCATTTTTATTTTTTTTGTCAGTCGTGGGGCCTGAACTCTGGGCCTGGGCACTGACCCTCAGCTCTTCAGCTCAAGTCTAGCGCTCTACCACTTGAGCCACAACACCACTTCCAGCTTTTTCTGTTTATGTGGTGCTGAGGAATCGAACCCAGGGCCTCATGCATGCAAGGCAAGCCACCTTCCCAGTCCTTTTTTTAAGTCTGAGACCAGGACTCCAACTTGGTATCTTCGACTTTTACTTATTGGCCTAGCACTCTTTTATCAACTGAGCCACATCCTCAAGCCCCCCTCCACCTACCTCACCTCCCACCCTGTGTACTGGGTGCTTTGGCAGCTCACCTCCTCCCAGACCAAGCCTGCTGCTACTAGTGACACATTACCCTTGCTGCCTTGGAAGGGCAGGTATCCGAAAGTCTCCTAACATTCATCTTGTTTAGTCCTTGGGGCTCAGAGGGGTAGACACACCTGTACCCCATCACACAGGTGCGAACTCCTAAAGCGGTGTTTGCTCATCTGTTCCCATCCAGCCATTCCCACAAGGATTCATGGGTACCTGGGTGCCAGAGAACACCAGCTGGCCAGGGCTAACGGGTGACCTCTTCGGCCTCACTTCTGGGGAGGGTGCAACATTGTATTGTAAATAAGGCCTTGTGAGCCGGGGGAAGTGTGGGAAAGCGCACACTGCACAGATCAAGGCAGGTTTCCAAGAGGCTGTGATGTCAGGAACAGGGGCCAGGGAGTTGGCCTGGTGAGCTGACCAGGCCTGACTTACCAGCGCGGTGGGAGAGGGTCTGTTGGGCCCGGCGCTGTGGGCTGCACTGTGATTTTGAAGGTAATGTGTGGCTAGAGAAGCACTCTTCCTGAAGGGAAGTTTAAGGCTGGGGGGGTGTGTGTGGCGATTTGCAAACATTTATAAATTCGTAATTTTAGGTTTCTATTTCTCTTTGTGGGTTGTGGGATTTGAACTCTGGGCCTGAGCACTACTGTCCCTTAGCTCTTCAGCTCAACGCAAGCACCTTACCACTTGAGCCACAGTGCCACTTCCGGTTTTCTGGAAGTCTCACAGACTTTCCTGCCTGGGCTGGCTTTGAACAGCGATCCTCAGATCTCAGCCTCCTGAGTAGCTAGGATGACAGGTGAGAGCCACAGGTGTTTGATCTGCCCTGGCCATTTTGGTGGATGTCCTCATACAAAGCTCTAATCTGGTTCTGCCAGACAGGGGCAAAATGGTCCCCATTGGGACTGTCTCTGGTCACTTTCCTCTGAGGAGTCAAACCTCTTCTACAGCTCATAAACCAGGCCCTTCATCTTTCTAGAAAACCAACTTCTGGGCTGTGTGAGGGTCATATTCTAGGATGGAGTAGAATTAGCCAGAGTGCCTGTGGGATTAGCCCAGGTTGCAGACACCCACAGTCGGACTAGGAGAGGCTGTGCCAACCAACCAAGCTGGCTGAGCACGGGCACAGGGGTAGCCTGGCAGTGAGTTCAGGACAAGGTTGACAGTTCCCAGGTTCAGGGTCTGCTTCTTCAACCCAGCCCTGCTTTGCTGACAACTCTTGTGCTCCCATCCCCCGGCAGGTGCTCCCTACCAGGGACAGAAGCCAGGGTCTTTTATCATCCCTCCGCCCAGGAAGCCACTCTAGTTCCCTCCAGCCTAGGGTGTATGCTGACACTGGCCACTGCCAGCCCTATCTTGTGATCTGGCCCCGCTTACCAGCGAAGCTGTCGGTTGTAGGAAGAAGTGGACTCAAGACTGACCCCTTGCCAGGGTAGAGGTCAGGCTGGGATGCTGCCTGGCTGCAGGGTGTACCTCCAGCTCACCCTGTGTCTTCTTCCTGTCATGCAAGACACTGTGTCTCCAGGGGAGTAGGCACTAGGCCCATGTCACACCCCATCTCTGCCCCGCTGAGCAGACAGAAGCTCCACAGGCCTCTGAGGTCCCTCTGAGTCCTGGCTGGAACAGCCACACTGGCAGACCCTCTAATCCTGGCCTGGGAGCCACATACAGGAAGCTCTCTGGCGGGCTCCACAGGCAGGTGTTTGGCACATCTGTCTGCAGGCTCTGGCTTCACCAGGACTCACCCAGATCAATTCCTGCATGAGGCAGCAGCCAACTTTGGCTCAGGTCTGCTGGAATGACTGTCCTTGCTCCCCTAGCTGATTGTAGTTGAAATCCAGTCTTCCTGTATCCCCAGAACTGTCTGACTGGCAGAACAGCCAAGGTAGACAGGCAAAAAGCTGCTAGCGCCTTGTACACACCACCTTTGATGAAACAACTCCTAACTCAATTAGAAAGGAGGCAGCCAGTCAGGCCACCGGGGCATGGGAGTAAAAAAACACTTCAGAACTGTTCTGAGTCCCGAGGGAGGACCTAGTACCCAGGATTCGGGAAGCCAAAGGGGTCCAGAGTGCTTTCCATGTGTTGAAACACGTACAACTTCAAGCAAGGCTTTAAGTAAGAAGTGGGGACACAGCGGAATTCCAGGCACTCTGAGGACGGTGGAAACCCAGGGCCTGCCGCTCTGATGCCCGCTGCTCCTGCCTGAGCCCTGCCCTTTGAACCTCTCATCTTCTGATTCCTGACCATTCCTGTGCCAGACTGGTCAGAGCACAGCCACTCCTGCACGCCCATTTTTCTGGTTGGATTTCCATGAGGCAGGCAGGACGGGCTCTCCTTCACCTATCTTAGGGCTGCAGGACTGTGTGTCCCCAGGCTGTCCACAGTTAGCTCCTCAGCACGCTGGTCTCCTTGTCGAGTGTGGAGAAGCGGATCAGCTTCAGGCTGGGTGGCCGGGGCTTCCTGTCATCCCACAGGTACTCAGGGGACAGCACCTTAGATGGTTGTGTGAGATGAAGGTGGCTCTCTTCCTGCCAGGCTGCCACGATGCCATTGGCTTTGTCCGCCAGGATAGCCATATGGCATCCCCTGGTAAACTCATACACGTTGGCCACTCGCCCACCAAAGACTGCCCCACCATAATAGAAGTCCCCCTCATTGTCTGCTACAAAGGCAGTAGAAGCTCTCCTGCGCTCATAGGGGAATTGCTGGCGGAGTACAGAGAAGTAGCCCGGGTGGATGGCAGCCACCATGTCCCCCAGGGTCTCAGGGCCCCACGGGTTCCGAAAGGTCATGTCTGCATGGAGGCAGAAGAGGTAGTCCACTTCCCGGTGGGCCCTCCCAGCAATGTGCTTCTGATCATCTCCGTCCATCGCATGGAGATCTCCTCCCAGTGGGAGTGGTCCTGGGTGGGAATCACGCTGAGGCGGCGGCCAGGGGCCAGCTGAACGCTGGGAACGGCTGCGGGGTTGGGAGTGAAGACGGAGTAGTGCACCCGGAAACCGCGCATGAAGAACTCCTCAGCTGATTCCAGAAAGTGCTGGACAAATGGCCTGTACCTGGTGACCAGTGGTCCTATCAGCACCACAGCCCAGCACAGTGCGTGGGGTCCAGGGCTCCGGCCCGCCCCGCTCCTCACCTCAGGCAGCCTCGTGGGCTCATCTGTCAACTTCCCACAGCGACCTGAGTCTGAAAACTCAGCTTCATGTGTTTGAATTAGGGGACCTTCATGGGCGAGTTCTACGTAAATTTCCCACATCCAGTTTAAATCAGGGATATTCAACCTGAACTGACCCCTTAGGACTGTTGTAAGGTGGATCCTCACTGGTGGTTTGTTTACTTATTTTTTGCTTGTACTGGGGTTTGAACTCAGGACCTTGTATTTGCTTGGCTTGCTTGCTCAGTGGTCACTTGAGCCACACCTCTATTCCTGTTTCTTTGTTTCCTAGTTATCTGGAGATAAAGCGCCTTGCAGACTTTCCTGCCCTGACCAGCTTTGAACTATGGTTCCCTGGATCTCAGCCTCTTGAGCAGTTAGGAATCCAGCCATGAGCAACCAGCTCCCAGCCTTAATGTTAGAACCATAGTCATAAGCAACACTAGCTTTTGTTGAGCTCTTCTGGAGTGCCGGGCAATATTTTCAGGGATTCTCATAATCCTCCATTTTCATAATCTGCCCATAACTTTCCCTGTTATATTTTTAACTTTTTATTGTTGTTTTGGGGCTTGAACTCTGGGCCTGGGCGCTGTCCCTCAGCTCTTCAGCTCAAGGCGAGCGCTCTACCACTTGAGCCACAGTGCCACTTATGGTTTTCTGGTGGCTTATTTGAGAGAAGAGTCTCATGGACTTTTCCTGCCCAGGCTGGCTTTGAACTGTGATCCTCAGATCTCAGTCTCCTGGGTAGCTAGGATTATAGGCGTGAGCCACCAGCACCCGGCACCACTATTTTAAAATTTTTAATTGTTATAAAGGTGATGTACAGAGGGGTTACAGTTAATAAGTCAGGTAATGAGTATATTTCTTCTTCTTCTTCTTTTTTTTTTTGCTAGTCCCAGGGCTTGAACTCAGGGCCTGTCCCTGAGCTTCTTTTGCTCAAGGCTAACACTCTACCACTTGAAAGCCACCACTTCCAACCTTTTCTGTGTATGTGGTGCTGAGGAATTGAACCCAGGGCTTCATGCCCGCTAGGCAAGCACTCTACCACTAAGACACTTTCCCTGTCCTAACATCACATTTCTTTTTGGACAATGTCACCCCTTCCTTCACTCTCTCCCAGTCCTTCCTGTTTTATTACTTGTTTATTTTTACCTTGCTTGTTTTAAGGCAGGAATAGTGAAGGTGAACAGGAAGGAAATAGCGAGGAACAAGTAGCGGGGAGAATCAAGGGAAGGCAGGTACAGCTGTAGAGGGCATGGAGAAGAGGATGGCATGGCTTCCTGGGGTCATCTACCCACTGACCACAATGCTTAGGCCAAATGTGCTCCCATGTGGACCTAAAGACAAGTCCAGCTGGGTGCTTGTAGCTCATGCCTGGAATCCCACTTGCTTAGGAAGCTGAGATCTAAGGATTGTTGTCTGAAACCAGCCTAGGCAGGAAAAAATCCATGGGACGCTTATCTTCAATTAACCACCAAAATGCTGGAAGTGGAACAGTGGCTCAAGTGGTAGAGCACCAGCCTTGAGCAAAAAAAAAAAAGGGTGGGGGGCAGCGGCCAGGCCTGGAGTTCAAGCTCTGGGATCTGTGTGTGTGCGCACCTGCATGTGCACACACACTGAGGTCGGACCCCTCCACAGGGGTCTTCTCCCCTGTCACAGTCTGCTCAGCACCCTGCTGGGCCTATGAGAAGGGCCTGCCTCTCCTCTGGACTGCCAGCCCCAGCTGCCCCAGGAGACGCTGCCTCCCGCCTTGCCCACTACTCACTTCCCCACGGCAAACACGGTGACCCCGATGGTCAGGTTCAGCGGCTGGTACAGGTGCTGCAGCAGCTCTGGGTTGAAGGTGCCCTCGGAGACAATGGGCGCCAGCCAGGGTGTCAGCATCAGCAGCTCCGTGGGCCTGGCGGGGTGGGGGTGGGGGGATGTGTATACAAGAGCTGAGGGCACTCCATCCCCCACTCCTGAAGCCTGGCTGTCCTGGCCCTGACTTTCTCCTCCTCACACTGTGTGACTTGGGTCAACCTGGTCCCTGACACTGGGCCTCAGTTTCCCTGTGTGGAAATTGGAGATAACAGCTAGCACCTGGAGTTCCCGGGCAGGCCAGAGGGCAGCATGAGGGCGATGAGCACTCAAGCATGTGTCACATTACCCTTCTTTCTCCTCGTCCTTCCTCCTTCCCTCCATCTTCCCTTCTTTCTTTCTTTCTTTTTTTTTTTTTTTGGGGGGGGGGTCTGGTCGTGGGGCCTGAACTCTGGGCCTGGGTGCTGTCCCTCAACTCTTCAGCTCAAGGCTAGCGCTCTACCACTTGAGCCACAACGCCACTTCCGGCTTTTTTCTTTTTGCTTATATGGTGCTGAGGAATCGAACCCAGGGCCTCATGCATGCAAGGCAAGCGCTCTACCACTGAGCCACCTTCCCAGCCCACCCTTCTTTCTTTCTTCTGTCTCTCCCTCCCTCCTTCCTTTCTTTCCTTTCCTTTCTTCTTCTGTTCCTCCCTCTCTAGCCTTAGCTGGCCTTGAAATCATGATACTCCTGCCCTTGACCCCCCAAGTTCTGAGATTACAGCTGGGCACCAGGGTACCTGGCTATAATACCATTCCATCTGCTCCTCCAGCCTCCTACAAGGTAGGTGCTCCTAAGATCCTGTGGTCACACAGCTAGTAAGGAACAGAGCGGAAGCTCAGGTCTCGGGCACTCATAGTGCCAGGGCCACCCTCACATTGGATCTCCTCAATCCTTACAAATAAGAGCTGTCGGTGGTCCTTCCTCTCCCCTGCCATGTCTTGGATACTGACCTCTGCTCCAGCAGCTTGGGCTGAAGGTACTCCAACCTGCCACAAAAAGAGGGCCAGTGTGAGGGAAAACATTCACCTCCCCAGGGACCACAGAGGGGAAGGACCGGCTACTCACCCGCCCACAGGCTGTGCTGGCTCCGCCCCCTTGTACTGGAGCTTCATGTTGCTGGTGCAGAGGCAACAGAGAGAGCTGTTAGTGCTGCGCAGGAAGACAGGGGTTCCAGCAACTCCCTCTAGCCCCTCCCACAGCTCCGCCCACTTTCTGGGATCTGCTGGGTTCTCCCACAGGGCCAACAAGACACCAGTGTCTGGCAGTCTGTGATGCAGCCCTGCAGGCCCCAAAGCGCATGCCTCTTCAGCCACATAGGCACCGGGCAGGACTAAGCAGCCACAAAAGCCTGGGAACCAGGACTCTGGGTGAGCCGATTAACCCCAGTAATGGTGACCGCCATTACTGGTGCCCATCATCTTGGCATAGATGATGCATATGTATGGGTTGGTTCTAGATGAAGGAAATTTCTTTGGGAAAGCTGGATGGATCCACCTTGTTAGTTCCAGGGCCTTGAGGAAAGAACTGATGGTTCCTCAAGATAAAAGAAATCCCACTCCTGGTCCACAAGTTCCACTCTGCACTGGGTGCTGAGACTTGTCTGTCTAGCCCTCACTGTCACAAAAGCTAATTCTCACCAGATGCCACTGGCTCACACCTGTAATCCTAGCTACTCAGGAAGCTGAGATCTGAAGATCTTGATTCAAAGCTAGCCTGGGCAGGAATGTCCATGGAGACTCTTATCTCCAATTAACCACCAGGAAACTGGAAGAGGCACTGTGGCTCAAGTGGTAGAGCACTAGACTTAAGCTGAAGAGCTGAGGGACAGCACCCAACAAAAAACAAAACATAAAAGCTAATTCTCCAGTGATGATTGTTTTTTTTTTTTTTTTTTTGGTCAGTTGTGAGGCTTGAACTCTGGGCCTGAGCACTGTCCCTGAGCTCTTTAGTTCAAGTCTACCACTTGAGCCACAGCGCCACTTCCAGTTTTCTGGTGGTTAATTTGGGAATAGAGTCTCACAGACTTTCCTGCCCAGGCTGGCTTTGAACCACGATCCTCAGATCTCAGCCTCCTGAGTAACTAGGATTACAGGAATGTGCCACCAGGCCCTGGCTGGACATTTTTTTTTTTTGGTATGTGGTATGTGCCAGCACTGGGGGCTTGAGTTCAAGTCCTGAGTACTGTCCCTTAGCTTTTCACTCAAGGCTGGTGCTCTATCACTTGAATCACAGCTCCCCTTCTGGCTTTTGGTGGTTAATTGGAGAGAAGAGTGATGGGAATCTCCGTGCTGCTCCCATGGCCCACTGACTGCCCTCCCCAGGGCCCTCCTGTTCTCAGGAAAACCTCACCCCTGACCTCATCTGAGAGTGGGGGACAGCCTTATCTGACCACCGGCATCAGGATGATACCCCTACCCTAAGTCCTCAAATGGGACTGTTTGCACCATAAATCCCAAACAGGGCAGTTAGGACAAGTCCCCAAACAGGACAGCACAAAGAAATCCCAAAGAGTCTCACTCTAGAATGTATAAAAACCTAACCCCTTCCCCCCACTCCCCATTCTTTCTTTCTCTTTGTTTCTCCAACCCTGCTCTGGGGTATATGGAGTCGCTCTGTAGCCAAGATTAAAACCTGGTCTGCGGAGGTCTCTGCCTCCTTTCTCCCTTTTGTCCGTTTGATCTTTCCTAGCTGATGATTTAGTTTCCTAACAGATGGTTCCCTGACCGGAAGAGTGTTCCCGGAGGACTCTCATCTAAGGGATGCTGTATCTCTCTCTGTCTCCCCTCTTTTTCCTCCCTCCTCCTGCCACTTTCAGAGAGCCAGACAGTCCCTCAAGGCTAACAGGAGTTCAAGAGCTCCCCGCCCCCCCCCCCGCCCCCCCCCCCCCCCCCCCCGCCACTAAACTGCAGCCTGTGCGTGAGTGGATGCCTCCACTGGGTCAGGCCTCAGCTTCAGCTGCCTGCCTGGGTCTTCATTGACTGGGTTGGTAAACGCTGCTAGTAGCCCACGGTTTCCCCACATCACCCCCCCCCCCTCCAGACCAGAGATCCTTTGCCACTGGCTTGCCTGTACTCATCACCTCTCTCTTGGCATTGCAAAGTGAAGATTCCAGTTTCCCTCTAGAAGGGCCCCCAAGAGAGAAACTTCTGTTTTTTGTTTTTTTTTTTTTTAGTAGGTCCCCAGGGACTGCTGCCTCTGACTGATTGTTTTGGGGATGCCCAGGCCCTTTGTAGAAGAGCCCACGTCCCCAGGGGTTTGGCTTGTAAGGACATGGGATTGCAGCTGTCCATCCCAGCGGCTGCCCTTTGGCTGGTGCTCTCAAGAGTGACACAGGCTAGGTCCCAGAACCCCCTCTAAGTTCCTTCTTGAGGACTAGTTGTTCTGGGATTGAAACCAGACTTAAAATGAAAAGAAACATGGGGCTGGGAAGATGGCTCAGTGGTAGAGCGCTTGCCTTGCATGCCTGAGGCCCTGGGTTCGATTCCTCAGCACATTAGCAAAAAGAAAAAAGCTGGAAGTGGCGCTGTGGCTCAAGTGGTAGAGCGCTAGCCTTGAGCTGAAGAGCTGAGGGACAGTGCCCAGGCCCAGAGTTCAGGTCCCATGGTTGGACCTCCCCCCCCCCCCCCACCAAAAAAAAAGAAACGTATTGGCTTTTGCATAAAAATTTGGCCTCAGCATCAATTGGACAATCACAAAAGAAAAAAGCTTAACAGTTTAGAAATCTGACTTCAGTACCAAGAGGTAATTGCAATCACTGGCCTGAATACAGCACTTCTGACCCAACAATATTGCAAGATACAAGTTTCTCCAATGGGGTGGCAAGTGGTCAGGGGTTCCCTAAGTCCAAGCTTGTTTTCCTTCCAGCTCCGGTTGCTATGTTCTTCCTCTCTGTCGCCCGGATTCTCTTAGCCGAAACTGTCCTCTCCAGGCAAACTTCTTCAGTCCACCTTTGCCCCATTGCCCGCAGAGCCTGAGTGGCTGATACTGGGTGGGGTGGCTGGAAGCAAAGAAAAGTAACTTTGTCTTGTAAATGTATTCATAGCAACAAACTGACCAAACTTTCTACAAAGAGCTATTTAACGTGGCCATCAACGCCTTTAGCATATTTATCAGGATGAAGAAACCAAAGAGGAAAAAAGAGAGACTTCCCAAAGTCAGACACCAACTCTTGGCTTTTATAGCTGGCTTTCACTTTTAAGACCTAAGTGTAGCCGGGCCCTGGTGGCTCACGCCTGTAATCCTAGCTACTCAGGAGGCTGAGATCTGAGGATCTCGGTTCAAAGCCAGCCCGGGCAGGAGAGAGAGACCGTGAGACTCCTATCTCCAATAAACCACCAGAAAACCAGAAGTGGCGCTGTAGCTCAAGTGGTAGAGCGCTCGCCTTGAGCTGAAGAGCTGAGGGACAGCGCCCAGGCCCAGAGTTCAAACCTCACGGCCAACAAAAAAAAAAAAAAAAAAAGACCTAAGTGTGTCTTAAAACTTTTGTTCACAAGTGTGTGTGAGCATGCTCAACCTCATTTTAAAGCATAAAAACTGTCATTATGGTTTGAGAAAAAGTCTTTTCTAGCAAACCAAGTATTTCTATCTTGAATATTGACATATTTTGGTACTGATATTTCCTGAAATTATTTGTCTTTTGACATCAATTTTAACTTTCTGTGCTGCTTATGTTGTAAGGTAAATCATCCTGGAAGCCATATTTTAAAATATAGAATATTGAAGTCTTTACTACACAGTTAACAGGCTGCAGGCCGCCAGTTGTTACAAAGGCCTGTAGCACGCAAATACAGGTACACTGCCAGGAAACATGCTAAAGAGGAAAGAAAGAACAAAAAACAATACCAACAATCCAATTAATAGAGAGCTGAACTGGGACTCCATGATGACTGGAGACAGGACACAGGACACATCACAGTGACCATGTGGCATGGAGTCTGGTGGCTAGGCTGGTCTCAGCCTAAATAGGTCCACACAGGGGGCAGGCAGATCCTCAGGAAATTCCCAGTCCCAGGCACTAGACTGACAGATTCAGTAACCTATCATCCAAGTGCCGGCCCCTGCCTGCCTCCAGGGGTCTGGGCACGCCCACTACCTGGGAGGCAGGTGATGGGGGAGGGAGGGTTCCTTCCCCCAGCATGAAAACAAGATGCCAGACCCTACCATCCACCATGTGGCCAATATGGTGCCGGCCAGACCTGGCCTCCTTACTTCTCTTACAGGAGACTGAGATCTGAGGATCATGGTTCCAAGGCTGTTAGTCTGACATGCTCTTCTCCCTAGATTGGTGGACAAAGGGCCCTTTTGGTGCAGGCAGCTGGTAACCAGCTTCCTCCATTGGGTCAGTTACAGCCATCAATGGTAGCAGCAGGCCTCCTTACCTACTCTTTGGGCAGCTGCCATAAATCTTAGCCCACCATAATGGAATACTCGGCTGTCACATCTCACCCGAGCCAGTCCCCTAGACAATAAGTACTGCCTTACCCAGGGACAGGCTGCTGCTACTCTCTGTCCTGAGAGCTAGCTGACAATAAATCCCTTTCTCCGTATGTGACTGTGTTCCTGTGTCTGTGTAGCTTTCGGGGCTGGTGCTTTCAAAGCCAAACCCTGGGAGAAAAGTCCCAATGAAACTCTTATCTCCAATAAACTAGACCTTGAGTTCAAGCCCCAGGCCTGCTAGAGAAAAGAAAAAAAAAGTAAAAAAAAGTCAAGTGCTGCTTGTTAGAAGGATAAATAATATTTATCAATGGAAGTAGTAAAAGGAATGAGGCCCCCTTTCTGAGTGGGAGCTTTCCACTGAGCTCATCAACCTCCTCCAGCTGTGTCTGCCAGACAGTCTGTTCCCAGCCCCATACCCAGCCATCTGTGATGGAGAAACTGTAAACCTTTGAAAAAAAAATTAGGGAGTAGCCCCCTTGGTAATTAATTATACTTAGAATGTGAGCCGAACTCCGTGGCAAGGAGGAAGGACAGTTTGGATTGTGATAAAAACCTAGCAAACTTCTATGCCTAGGTAGCCTGGCTCTGGGTGGAGTAACAGTAAACGACTGTGAGAAGAGTCATCCTGCAGTTCTAAGGTAATGGAAACTCTACCTCCACAGGCCATGAGGAAAAAATGG